AAAAAAAAAAAAAAGAAGGAAAAAAAAAAGAGGAAAAATTATTTCAGTTGAATAGATTTTTCAACAGGTTGACATATGTTGAAAAAAATTGCAACTTATCGATCAAAATCCATTAGGGACCACAGAATCTGCAGCTACTGCTGCCATATAAAAAAAAAAAAAAGTTGATATTTATTAGCGCTACCGTAGTCCATCGTTGAACCGATAAGCGCCGCAAATCGTTTGGGTGGCTGTCAGCCGATACACATACACACACAGAGTGCTGCTGTTCGCTGCTGCTGCTGCTGCTGCCGTTGCTTCTGCTACCTTTGTCGCCAAAATCTTTCCCTCTCTGTCTACTTGTCTTATGCTCTTGCTATCTCTCTCTCTCTCCCTCTCTCCTTAAGTCTCTTTTAGTGTCATCAATTTATCTCTGTGACTGTGTGTGCTGCAGCGTCGTCAACTATAGGTTAAGGGGGGCAACTGCAACAAGGCTGGCTGGCTGGCTGGCTATTCCGGGTAAACAGCAGGGAATGATGTACTTGAGAGGATGATGGAGGGTGGTTGAACGGTGGAGGAAGGAAGAGATGGAGGAGGGTGGGTTGAAAACACATCTGTGTGTGTGTGTGTTTGTGTGTGTGCGTGTGTATATGTCCCGTTTTATATTGCATGTGCTCGACGGATCATGCGGTAAAGATTGTTTTTTTTTTCAAGAAAGAGAAGGGGGAGAAAGAATTTGGAATTTTTTTTTGTTGCTTATTGTTTATATAGTACAATATTTCAAAAAAAATTTTTTTTGTTTTTACACCTTATTTGCTCAATTATTAAACATCAAAAACAAAACAAAACAAAAATTTTATTTGTTTTCATCTTAATCAACAAATAAAAACACACAATACTGCTGCCTGTTGTGCTGTTGTCGTTATTTTTATTGTCACTACAGCTGCAGTTATGGATAGATAATATAAGGAGGTGAAAAAGGAAAAAATAAAAAGAAGAAAGAAGAAAGACAAAAAAAAAAAA